ATGACAGGAGCCAACAAGACCACTTGACAGGAGCCAAGACCACATGACAGGAGCCAAGACCACATGACAGGAGCCAACAAGACCACATGACAGGAGCCAAGACCACATGACAGAAGCCAAGACCACATGACAGAAGCCAAGACCACATGACAGAAGCCAAGACCACATGACAGGAGCCAAGACCACATGACAGGAGCCAAGACCACATGACAGGAGCCAAGACCACATGACAGGAGCCAAGACCACATGACAGGAGCCAAGACCACATGACAGGAGCAGCTAAGACCACATAACAGTAGCCAAGACCACATGACAGGAGCCAAGACCACATGACAGGAGCCAACAAGACCACATGACAGAAGCCAAGACCACATGACAGTAGCCAAGACCACATAACAGGAGCAGCTGAGACCACATGACAGGAGCCAAGACCACATAACAGGAGCCAAGACCACATGACAGGAGCCAACAAGACCACATGACAGGAGCCAAGACCACATGACAGGAGCCAAGACCACATGACAGGAGCAGCTGAGACCACATGACAGGAGCAGCTAAGACCACATGACAGGAGCAGCTAAGACCACATAACAGTAGCCAAGACCACATGACAGGAGCCAAGACCACATGACAGGAGCCAAGACCACATGACAGGAGCCAAGACCACATGACAGGAGCCAAGACCACATGACAGGAGCCAAGACCACATGACAGGAGCCCCCATCACCTTGACAGGTCCCGTGACGACCCAGACACCCGGAAGCCTGCACACACAAACTTGACGACTCCTCCGGTGGGGGGTAGAGGGGGGGTGAGTGCATGGGAGGGGGGGCGGCAAGGTGACCGGATGTGGGAGAAGCGATTGGGGAGGGTGTAATTACCTGGATAAGGGGGGGGACAAGAACGCAACAAACAGGTGTGTGAGGGGGGGGTGTGTGTGGGGGGTGTGTTTGCGGGGTGTGGGGGAGGCGGATGACTAAGAGGTGGAAGCTGAGACTGGATCAAAGTCGCTTTTGGCAGACCCGAGTTGGATGACTTGCGGGACTGGATGAGGGCATGATCAGGGGCATGATCTGGGGGCATGATCAGGGCATGATCAGGGTATGATCAGGGGCATGATCAGGGGCATGATCAGGGGCATGATCAGGGGAATGATCAGGGGCATGATCAGGGCATGATCAGGGGCATGATCAAGGCATGATCAGGAGCATGATCAGGGGCATGATCAGGAGCATGATCAAGGCATGATCAGGGGGCATGATCAGGTGCATGATCAGGGGCATGATCAGGTGCATGATCAGGGGCATGATCAGGAGCATGATCAAGGCATGATCAGGGGCATGATCAGGGGCAGGGAAGGCAGATAACCAGGATAACCAGGATAACCAAGGAGAGAGGCCCTCACCGCTGGTAGAGTGCCTCAGGGCGCCATCTTGGGGCCGCTATTGTTTACCATCGTAATAAATGGTATACTCACAGGAGTGAACATGAACACCACTAAACAGTTTAATGTACTCTGTCTCAGACGTGCTGGAGGGACTTAAGCAGACTTTCCAGTCTTAACCCCCTGGAGGCACTTGAATACTTTCACAATGGACTTGAGATAGAGGCCCTTTTTTATTATTATTATTTTCTACCACAGACGTGGCCGGACATTTACAATGCTAACCAGCATATATACATTTTCTTCTGTCCTGCACGGACAGGGTTAGAGATGTGTTAAACATATAGTTCAAGGGTTTATTGAACAATCAACCCCTTGGGTGCCGTCAGCCACTACGGGATCACCATAGCCCGTGCTGCTTGGAACTTTTTGTTCCAAGTAGCGAATCTTAAGCAACATGCACGTTAATCACGTGTAAATAGGGGCACAGCATGGCACCTAGACAATAGGGGCACAGCATGGCACCTAGACAATAGGGGCACAGCATGGCACCTTGACAATAGGGGCACAGCATGGCACCTAGACAATAAGGGCACAGCATGGCACCTAGACAATAGGGGCACAGCATGGCACCTTGACAATAGGGGCACAGCATGGCACCTGGACAATAGGGGGCACAGCATGGCACCTACACAATAGGGGCACAGCATGGCACCTTGACAATAGGGGGCACAGCATGGCACCTTGACAATAGGGGCACAGCATGGCACCTAGACAATAGGGGCACAGCATGGCACCTAGACAATAGGGGGCACAGCATGGCACCTAGACAATAGGGGCACAGCATGGCACCTTGACAATAGGGGCACAGCATGGCACCTTGACAATAGAAGGCACAGCATGGCACCTTGACAATAGGGGCACAGCATGGCACCTTGACAATAGGGGCACAGCATGGCACCTAGACAATAGGGGGCACAGCATGGCACCTAGACAATAGGGGCACAGCATGGCACCTTGACAATAGGGGCACAGCATGGCACCTAGACAATAGGGGCACAGCATGGCACCTTGACAATAGGGGCACAGCATGGCACCTTGACAATAGGGGCACATCATGGCACTTTCACAAAGGTGAAGTTGGTAACTCTTGGTAAATCCTGGAGTTACCAACTCCAAGTAAATCCCGCCCAAATCCTTTACCAGGATTTGGACGTCGTTGTAAACGAGACCGGGATTTTGTCGCAAACATTTACATACATCATTTACAGGGGCCTGGCGGCTGAGTGGACAGCGCTCGGGATTCGTAGTCCTGAGGATCCGCGTTCGATCCCCGGTGGAGATGGAAACAAATGGGCAGACTTTCACCTTGGTGCCCCCTGTTCACCTATCAATAAATAGGTACCTGGGAGTTAGACAGCTGCTACGGGCTGCTTCCTGGGGGATGTGTAACAAAAAGGAGGCCTGGTCAAGGACCGGGCCGCGGGGACGCTAAGCCCCGAAATCATCTCAAGATAACGCATCCACCTACGAAACCAGTACATCTTTCCTTAAATAATTGCGTTTTTTTACATTTGTTATAAAGGTTATGAGCTGAGAAGATGGCGTGGGTAAGAGGGAGATTTCGTGGGTAAGGGGCGTGGGTAAGTAAGAGGGGGCGTGGGTAAGGGGCGGGGGTAAGTAAGAGGGGGCGTGGGTAAGTGGGCGGGGGTAGGTGGAAGGGGGCGTGGGTAAGTGGGCGTGGGTAAGAGAGTAATGGATGGGGAGGTAAGGAAGACAGGGAGGGATGGGGAGGGGTAAGATCAGTGAAGTATCTCGAGTAATGACTGGCCCCAGATGTGCTGTATGAGGGGTGGGGGGGAGGGGGGTTGGTAGTGAGGGGGGTGGTAGTGAGGGGGGTGGTAGTTAGGGGGGTGGTAGTGAGGGGGTGGTTACTTACCTCCTAAAGTAATAAATTCCACTTTGCCTCATCAAATTTCTCTAAAGTAAGAAAAACTTGAGTGAATATCACTGTCAGTTTGCTGTTTCACATAACTGAAGCAAAACCCAATTTATACCAAAACAAGAATTAGTATACACAAGATTTACAGTTTACAATTATGTCCCACAGATAAATACTCTTTTAAACCATCACAAACTCTCTAAACATCTGCAAACTCTAAATCAACCTGGGGCCAGATTCACGAAGCAGTTACTCAAGTACTTACGAACCTGGGGTCAGATTCACGAAGCAGTTACTCAAGTACTTACGAACCTGGGGCCAGATTCACGAAGTAGTTACTCAAGTACTTACGAACCTGGGGCCAGATTCACGAAGTAGTTACTCAAGTACTTACGAACCTGGGGCCAGATTCCCGAAGCAGTTACTCAAGTACTTACGAACCTGGGGCCAGATTCACGAAGCAGTTACTCAAGTACTTACGAACCTGGGGCCAGATTCCCGAACCAGTTACGCAAGTACTTACGAACCTGTCCATCTTATCTTAATCTTTGGCGGCTTTGTTTACAATTATTAAACAGTTAATGAGCTCTGAAGCACCAGGAGGCTGTTTATAACAATAACAACAGTTGATTGGCAAGTTTTCACGCTTGTAAACTGTTTAATAAATGTAACCAAAGCCGTCAATGATTGAGGAAAGATGGACACGTTCGTAAGTGCTTGCGTAACTGCTTCGTGAATCTAGCCCCAGGTTCGTAAGTGCTTGCGTTACTGCTTCGTGAATCAAGCCCCAGGTTCGTAAGTGCTTGCGTAACTGCTTCGTGAATCTAGCCCCAGGTTCGTAAGTGCTTGCGTAACCGCTTCGTGAATCTAGCCCCAGGATCGTAAGTGCTTGCGTAACTCCTTCGTGAATCTATCCCCAGGTTCGTAAGTGCTTGCGTAACTCCTTCGTGAATCTAGCCCCTGGTCGAGGACCGGGCCGCGGGACTCTAAAGCCCCGAAATCATCTCAAGATAACCTCAAGATAGGTCACAGTTTGTCCAACATTATAATACAAGAGATATAAGTATATCTGGCAGTCAAGTTCTTGTTAAAGGTCGACCTCTGATGGCTAACCTCGTCTGACCTCCACCTTCAAGGTCAGCCAATGACCTGGAAGCAAACGCGTCTAGTACCGTTATACCAAGTGTACCATTCGGGCCAATAGGCCTGCTGCAGTTCTCATTACTACTATCCCCTACACCTGACTTTCCTCCTCAGCTCTCTCTTGCCTATTTAATGCTGTCCCTACCTGTCCTCATCACATACACTCCGCCACACTTGGTCCGGGAGACATCTCCCGTCACGCAGGGTGCAGTTGCGCCTCCACAGATCTCCAGCATCATCTTTTGATACTGGTAATGGATCGAAAGGGCCACCACTTACGGGCTATTCATGCCCGTGCCACCTCTTGGGTGGCTTAATCTTCATCAATCAATCATCTCCCCATCACAATCGACTTGAGAATGGTCCAGGACGGACCGAAACGTCGTCGTCCCTTCAATTTCTAGTGTGTGGTTTGGTTAACATACTTCAGCCACGTTATTGTGACTCATCGCCTGCAAGTGTACCATTCTTTACTCCTTTCTAATTACATCATTTTACATTATAACTGCAAGATGAAATGGTAAGGATTACTTTCTGAACGATTGTTGATGTTCTCTACTGGTTAATTTTGTACCAGTAATAGGGATTGGTAGCTTTAGAAACACACACACACACACACACACACACACACACACACACACACACACACACACACATACACTTGGTGGAGGCCAAGACCGCCAGTAGTTTCAAAGCGTTATATGACAACGAGTGCTGGGAAGACGGGACACCACGAGCGTAGCTCTCATCCTGTAACTACACTTAGGTAATTACACACATACACAGAAAATTAATTGTGGGTTGATATCACGCCAGACCTGTCTCCTGTAGCCCATATCAAGAGGATAACATCAGAGGCATATGCCAGGCTGGCCAACATACGAACGGCCTTCAGAAACTTGTGTAAAGAATCATTCAGAACTTTGTATACCACATATGTCAGGCCAATCCTGGAGTATGCAGCCCCAGCATGGAGTCCATATCTAGTCAAGGATAAGACTAAACTGGAAAAGGTTAAAAGATTTGCCACCAGACTAGTACCCGAGCTGAGAGGTATGAGCTACGAGGAGAGACTACGGGAATTAAACCTCACTTCGCTGGAAGACAGAAGAGTTAGGGGGGGACATGATCACCACATTCAAGATTCTCAAGGGAATTGATAGGGTAGATAAAGACAGGCTATTTAACACAAGGGGGTGGCGCTGCCCAATACTGTCACTATGGCGGTGTGTCCACTCACAGGATGAGTGAAGCTGCCCAATACTGTCACTATGGCGGTGTGTCCACTCACAGGATGAGTGGCGCTGCCCAATACTGTCACTATGGCGGTGTGTCCACTCACAGGATGAGTGGCGCTGCCCAATACTGTCACTATGGCGGTGTGTCCACTCACAGGATGAGTGGCGCTGCCCAATACTGTCACTATGGCGGTGTGTCCACTCACAGGATGAGGGGCGCTGCCCAATACTGTCACTATGGCGGTGTGTCCACTCACAGGATGAGTGGCGCTGCCCAATACTGTCACTATGGCGGTGTGTCCACTCACAGGATGAGGGGCGCTGCCCAATAAACTCGCCCCTCGGGGAAAAATTTACAAAAATTTAAAAATGCTCGTCTACCAGCCTACATGGCTAACATGTAGGTAAAGTTAAGGTAACATGTAGGTAACGCATCATGTCGCCCGTAGCCAACATGGCGCTACATGTTGGTTAATGTATTCTACATGGAGAGTTGTAGAGCGGATAAGCCTGAACGGATAACCAAACACCACCACACACCACCAAACACCACCAAACAACGCCACACACCACCAAACACCACCAAACAACACCACACACCACCAAACAACGCCACACACCACCAAACAACACCACACACCACCAAACAACGCCACACACCACCAAACAACGCCACACACCACCAAACAACGCCACACACCACCAAACAACGCCACACACCACCAAACAACGCCACACACCACCAAACAACGCCACACACCACCAAACAACGCCACACACCACCAAACAACACCACACACCACCAAACAACGCCACACACCACCACACACCACCAAACACCACCAAACAACGCCACACACCACCAAACACCGCCACACACCACCAAACAACAGGAAACAACAGTGGAGGGGGGAGGGGGGGGGGGTAGTGGGCGTCACCCACTAAGAGGCGCCTCACCCCTAAACTTCCGTCTGTGTTTTATTATTCTCTCCCTCTCTGTTTCTCCCTTTTCTCTATTTCTCTCTCCTTTTCTGTTTTCGTCTCTCTCCCTTTTCCCTAATTTTCTCACTGTTTCTGTCTCGGGTTATCTCATCAGTAAAGCGGTCAGTTTAACCTCATGATCACATCAGTAGAGCAGCTAAGGCCTACGGGCTCACCATAGCCCGTGCTACTTGGAACTTTATGTCCCAAGTAGCACAAATTAGACAAGAAAGAGAAGGGCAGACTGCATATTTTTAGATTGCCAAAAAGCCTCTGATACATAAGAGACTAATACATAAGTACAGTGATGTGTACATAAGCTCCGTCCATGTATCCAGATGTACACAACGATCACGGGCCGTGTACATGAGCCCTATCCATGTGCGTACTATCCATGTGCGTATGATATGTGTGCATTTAGAGTTCACACGCTCCACCGATCAAATAGGATAAAATATTTCGCAATGATTCATATTCAGTTTTTTTCCTATGTTTTATAAATCAAATTAGAATGTATTTGTTGCACATTAGGCTGCATTTGTTGCATGGCGTCGGCCTGCACGCCTGAGCAACAGCCCCGGCGCTAACGAGCACACGCGGAGTGATCACTTGTGTTAAATAGATGAGCAGTATATGTTTCACAACACAGAACGAGGGTGTGAGCTCCATCCAAGCTTTAGTTCAGCTCCAAGCTTGAGTGGATATTGAGGTTTCTCTCTCCAGAGTCACTGTAGATGTCTGTATCGTGACAGTCACTGTAAATGTCTGTATCGTGACAGTCACTGTAGATGTCTGTATCGTGACAGTCACTG